TTTCCCCTCCACCTTCCTCTCCCTCTCCCCCTCCCTCTCCTTCTCCTTCCTCTTTGCCAGCGTCCTCTTCTTCTTCTTCTTCTTCTTCTTCGTCTTCATCATCCTCTTCTTCTTCTTCGTCTTCATCCTCCTCTCCTTCTTCTTCTTCTTCTTCTGCATCATCCGTTTCTTTGTCTTCTTCTTCTTCTTCTTCTTTGTCTTCTTCTTCTTCTTCTTCTTCTTCTTCTTCTTCTTCTTCTTCTTCTTCTTCTTCTTCTTCTTCATTTACCCCCCCACGCCGGCTGAGATCGGCCCCTCCTTTGTCTTCCTTGTCTATATTGGGTTGTCGGCAGGTTCGTTCATTCTCTCCTCCTCCCAGTCCCCCTTCCTCTCGGCGTCGTGTTGATGCTAATCTGCGGGGTTCTTTGTCTTACCGACAGCCTTCTCTGCCACGTCGACGTCGTCATTCATGCGCCGACCCTGCCAGATCAGACCTAGCTTTCCAGTGGTGACCGAATCGGATCTGTGGGTAGATCTACCAAATGCTTGTGGGTTGATAGCCATAAATGTCTGCCTACAGGCTTATCAGCGTCAATGTTATACTGCTTCCCATTTTGTTACAATTGCTTATCAGCTTGACGCTGTTGAAAATCAGTTGTTGTATGACCATAATGGTCCACCGCCTGAAGGTAGTAATTATACTACCTCAGGAGGCTTTACTGTAAATGTCTTACAGTTAGCGTTTCACGGTCGCCGCCTTCTTATGCATCATGTGACGCCAGGCGATGACCTTAATGACCATCCTCATATTTCTGCCTGTATTTTGCACAGACCCAGGCATTATATGGCACTCATTCGTGCAGTTGCCCAGTGGGAACTGTGGGATGATGGGACAATGATTCCGGCTATTTTCAACATAAATGAATTTCTGTGTGCATTACCGAATCATACTTTGTTCTGGATTATAGATCGACTCTCGTGTGACACCTGTCGGGACAGGGACGCGGTGCGTCTTGGCTGCGGAATTCATCACCTATGCCATCAACATTATCAATCTATTGCAGCCGCCGCCGTCTGTGCCGAAGGATGTCCAACATTTCCTCATTGTACACATCCCTATCACCCAGATATCCGCTGTCCCTTTTGTGCTCAAGGACGCTATCAGGACTGCATGATGCCGCACTCTGATGAACGTCCTGCTGTTTTTTTGACATGTGGACAGCATGTCCTTTGTCAGGAATGTTTTGATGGGATGGTCCGTACTAGCCGTCCTGCTGAATGCTGTGCTGAAGTAGCTCTCCTTGGGTATCCTTGTGAACATCCACGTCATCCTCAGCGTGCCTGTCCCATCTGCCGAGGTGGGGGCTACTCTTCCTGACTGGTCAATAGAATTAAGCAATCAGGAGCAACACTAATTGTAGGACAGAAAAGAAAGAAAGAGAAAAAGTACAATTTCTGGAAAAAAGAAAAAAGAAAAAAAGAAAAAGAGAAAAAAAAAGAAAAAAAAAAAATGTTGAACTTTGTAGTGACAGTGGCAATTGGTTTATCTGTGGGATGTGTCATTTGCTTTCTTCCTTTGTCTTTTCTTTGACCATTCTCTTTCTCTTGCCTCTGTAAGGTCTGGTTTCCTCCTCCTTTTCTTTACCTCTTTGCCTTTTGGCTGCGTGCAAGTGGGTCCTTGTGAAACACGGGGATGTGGGCAGCCAGCGCTCAACCTGTTATCCACGTGGCTGGCCTTGTACGTAAGAGGTGATGAACAGGTGGGGCTTTCCTTCCTTCTTTTCCTTTCCTTGTTTTGCTTTTTTTCACCTTCGCACTCTGATTCACAGTGTGACACTTGGTTTCCTCCTCCTTTTCTTTACCTCTTTGCCTTTTGGCTGCGTCCAAGTGGGTCCTTGTGACACACGGGGATGGGGGCAGCCAGCGCTCAACCTGTCATCCACGTGGCTGGCCTTGTACGTAAGAGGTGATGAACAGGTGGGGCTTTCCTTCCTTCCTTCCTTCTTTTCCTTTCCTTGTTTTGCCTTTTTCCGCCTTTGCGCTCCGATTGTCAGTGTGACAATATATATTATCGCATACAGGGATGGGGGCAGCTCGCGCTCAACTTCGTCAACGTGGCGAGCCTTGTACGTTAGAGGCATAGTGGAGGAGGCGTTAAGAAGACTGAGAAACTGAATGATTTCAATGTGTCTTTGTTTTTTATTTTTATGCTTTGATTCAGTGTATTTTTTTGTAAAACGCTGACTGTGAAACAAAGAATAAGAGGACACTGTTTTCTGTCATTCTGGTTTGTCTGTCTCTTTGCCTGTCTGTCCTTTCATTTTTCTTTTCTTCGCTCATCTTATTTCTTCTTCTACTCCACGTGCTTACACTCTTAGTCAATAGTTCTGTGACAATATATATAAACTCCGACGAAACAGTTTGTCACAGCCCCTCGTTTGTTGTCCTCTTCTCTCTCTCTGCCCATGGTTTACCGGGCAGTTCTGTTTGTGACGATATATATATATATATATATACAGCCCGACACTCGCGTCCTATGTTCCGACATCTTGCCGAATCCAYCCCCCTTTCATCCCTTTCTGTGCTTGGCCGCAGACGGCTGCGTTCCTCCTCGCCACCCCCATCTCCTCCACGGTCT